ATTTGCGCGAGGCTGGACAAAGTGAGGAAGAAGGCGGCGATGGGAGCGGAGAAGAATGGATACACCTGCGGAGCGAGGAGGCAATCGGTGTCCCGCAATTCAAAAGTATGTTTTTATTTAGGAGGAAAATTTGAATATTACAGGCTACCACAGCATCCGAAACCCGAAAAGCATGATTAGCGTCCTTGAAATATTCGAGTAGAAAAACAGGTATTTTTCCCAACCAGTAACTATCCTAGCGAATTACGATTGGTACCCACACGATGCTAGGAAGAACTGGGGAGCACCTGTGATGCTATGGAAGAATCCGCTTGAAAAACGCTACGGGGAACTTGCCAGCTACATTCAGTAGCGGAGAATAAAGAGGCGACCTAGAATCTGCTGCTTTCTTACATCTATACCATTTCATACATCCAGGTTTGTTGATCAGTTTCGATACTGCAGGAACATATACATAGATTTGTATTCTTTATGGGCCATATTGAAAAAACTGTTTAGTTTTGCTTTTGTGGACAATGGTCTGTCCCTTTGTGCATACACTCACGTTCACATTTTGTTTTTCATGGATTTTATAAGTAGTAAAGCATGGAAAGTGCATAAAATTGTAAAAGAAAGAATTGGATAGGTACCACAAAGCTGAAAGCATCAAATTTAGACCGGTAGTTCTGTCTCAGGCCCATTAGAAGGATCCGATGGCCGTTTACCAGAAGTCTCCAAATCCAGCGCTGGCATCTTTAGACTATTTACCAGTGACTAAAAATTACCACGATCTAATCCTTAATTAAGCAGTTAAAAATTCAATGAGGTTATTGATAAGAACCGTCTGGAGTAGAAATTCCTCAACAACAACAGCAGTATATATATATATTAAACCCCTTACTCTCAATACTTCGCTTTTCTCTAACTGCCACTTTAACTTTTTAGACTAAACTAGGTTGACTTTGAAGATATCAAGACCGCTCGGATAACCATTGTCGGCATCTCATGTTAGCGATATTACTGGGAAGAAGCTAAACCAGGCGCTTTGATTTTTATGCGTTTTTTGCAGCAATGCAATGCGGAAAACGCATATT